GAGAGAGAGAGAGAGAGAGAGAGATGAACATTTTGACAAATTTGTTTAACTTAAAAACTTGTTAGACATTATTTGAAACTAGTTAATCCTATGTACACTACAACTCATAATTATGTACCAGGTAGATCCTTTACAAGTGAGTCAAACGTATTTTCCAACAAGTTAAATTCATAATAAATCAATAACATTTCGGGCAAATTCTTGAGTATTTGTAAGTAAATCTTTGCGGTTAATTACTAAATAACTAATGTTTGGAAATAGTGAAAAGTTTAAAAACCTACTTCAAATAGTTTCGATTCAATGATATAAAACAATTACTTATGCAACTTAGTGTATATGTTATATGTTTGAGCACTAATTGATGGGATGCCTGAAAAGCATTTGTATAATTCGTATGCTTAACGTATTGGTAGTTATTTTTAAAATTAAATTAATTTTGTTGTTTATTTCATATTTAGTGATTTATGACTGTTTTAATATTGAGAATGAATTCAAACATTGCATTAAAACAATTTTAAAGATTAATTTATACATTTTTAGTGCTCTTACATCAGGTTAGAAATGATTTGTTTTATATAATATTTGTCCATTTGTTTATTTAAATTGATTATAATATATGAAACATTTAAATAAATGATTAAACTTTTTTGGAGATATTTTTTCATTAAATATTTATGTCTTTTTTCTCATAAAATATTTATGAAATTTTGTGTCAAAAGGAGAATATCTAAACTTAAAGCCTTTTCTATACATTTTATTACACATTTGGCTTAAATTCTTGCGCTTTTTTCATTAAATATTTATGTCTTTTTTCTCATAAAATATTTATGAAATTTTGTGTCAAAAGGAGAATATCTAAACTTAAAGCCTTTTCTATACATTTTATTACACATTTGGCTTAAATTCTTGCGCTTTTGTGTAGAATTTTAAAAGTGATTGATTTGTATGGAGACGACAAATGGACTTCTAATTTGATTTAATAGACATTTCTTGGATTAGAGACAAAGCATTGTGTCGTCCGAATGAACGCCACTTTAATTGATATACATTTTAGAAATTTTGAGAATTTCATAAATTCTTATAAATTGGATTAACTGTTGACTGAATTTCTTATATTTTTGTATTCTTTCTTTATAAGTATTATATCACTTGTGATAATATAATTATAGCAAACCTAACGAATAGTACATGAATTACATCTCTTATAATCTATTATATGTTTTTTGTGCGGAAATTCCGTGATTTGAATCATTAGTGAACATATTTATTAAATACATTATCCGTTTGTTTTCATATTTTGTGCATCTTTTTTATTTTTAACTTTATTTTTAAAATAATTGTGTGTTTTTAAAAGGGAAGCAAACATCTAAAAACATATTAAAGAATTTTACATGGTTTTGATTTACGTCAACATATAAGCCGTATATTCAAAGCTTTTATAGCATTGAGTTAATGCTATCGACAATCCATTTAATAATGAAATGAAAAAAGGTATTGTTTTTATCTGCTCTTCCATTGAAATGATGAGTTATAATAGATTCCTATCATAACGATTGATACGTTAAGGTTAAACAATTCATTGATATTTTTGTGTCAAATTCTTACGGTTTCCATACAATTAAATGATAGTAATATATCAATTAAATGCCAATTTCCTAAGTAAGCAAAAACAAGTCGTTGGCAAAAAATTCTCATTCTTTTCTCGAAATTAAATTTGCTTTTTATCTCTTCTGTAATGGAAGTGAAAAATCCAAAGAATTGATTGAAGAGCTCTCTCTCTCTCTCTCTCTCTCTCTCTCGTGTTCTATATATAGAGAATGTGAGTGTGAAGTGGTTTTCGTTTTGATCATTTAAAAAAGCAGCGAATTTTGCAAATTGTGTGATTTGTCGCCAAATGTTTATAGATTCGCAAAATAAAGAAATTAACATGTTTTACAAAAATCAACCGTTTTTTCTCTCCGATGCCATGATTTTTGTTAAACAAATTCTGTTTCATTAGACGAATACTCGCTCAACAAATAACTGGAAAAGTAAACATTTGGATCGATAGCTATTATTCTCTCTATATATACATCTACTATACTGTAGAATATACTGTATATTCTTTATATTAGTGGAGCTCTAGTTTTACATTTAAATATATATTCAAATTGTTTGCTATTAAGTTATAAATTGCTTTTTATTTACCTAATAATTGATTGTTATCTTAAATTGATTTCTTGTTATACATTAAATATAACATCTTTTGTATCGTTAATAACCAAATCATATTAAAAGCAGAAAATTATTTTTGGATTTATTTTGTATTCAATATACTATTTAATTGATTTTATGGCAAAATTTATTTTTGCTTAACAATAAAATGATGTTTTAATAGAAATGTTGGTCTGATATACGATATAATTAGAAAAATCACTCAACGAAATGACTGTTTTCAACACAACTTACAATGTATTGCAATCTATAGCATATTTACGCCATACCATTAATACAGTACACTATAGTATCCAATAATCTAGATTATATTCACTATAGTATTTAAATATCTGTATATATAATAATAATAATTATAATAATGAAACCTAAAGTAATTCGTCAAAAACTGGACAAAAAATTCAATAATTCTTAATATTTATTGTAATGTGAAATGAAATCCCAATTGAATTACATTTTATACATTCAAAACTAATTTGCATTCATTTCTCTATTTGTAATATACATTCATATTATTCCAGAATCTCATATTTACTCAATCATTACACGAAAATATTAAAAATATATATTAATAATTGCTTTTATATGGACTTCACTTGTATTGAGTTGAATTAATTTGAAAATGTTTGCAATTTTTGACTTCAAAACTCATCCATTATATGTCCTAATTATTCACTTCTAATTGTTTGCATATTATAATGATTTTTACTCATCTTTTGTTTCTTTTTTGACGCAAATAAATGACCCGAAGTTTTTCGGTCTAATGATTGCGATAAAAGTTATTTTAAAAAATGTGTTTATATGATAAACAGATGCACATCTGATTCGGCCGCCAGTAATAAGAGTAATAAAAAGGTGATAACAATCGACCAATTGGTGGACTTCTTGAATAAAGAGCAAAGAGATCCGCGACTCAATGAAATCCTATACCCGTATGCAAACCGAAGTCGCGGTCGAGATATCGTTGAACAGTACGAACCCAATAAAAGTATCGCTCAAAAGGGTTTGCTATCATTTGAAGGCTTTCTCCGGTATCTGATGAGTGACGACAACGCGATCGTTGCGCCCGAAAAGTTTGATCTCAACTCGGATATGGACCAACCTCTCAGTCACTACTTCATCAATTCAAGTCACAACACATATCTCACGGGACATCAGTTGACCGGCAAGTCGTCCGTCGAAGTGTACCGACAATGCCTTTTGGCCGGCTGTCGGTGTATTGAACTCGACTGTTGGAACGGCAAGAACTCAGATGAAGAACCCATCATCACTCATGGCTTTACTGTTGTCACTGATATTCCCCTCAAAGAAGTATTGGATGCCATCAATGAAAGCGCTTTCAAGACGTCTGCCTATCCGGTCATCCTTTCATTCGAGAACCACTGCTCACCCAAACAACAGGTGAAAATGGCCGCCTATTGTCGGAAGCTATTCGCCGACCAACTCGTCACTGAGCCGTTGTCCACACATCCTCTCAAACCCGGACAACCACTTCCGTCACCGAATCAACTGTTGAGGAAAGTGATCATTAAGAACAAGAAGAAGCATCACATCCGGAACCGAAAGGCAATGAACCAACAAATAGCTGCAGAAGCAGTTGCAGAGGCAGTTGCAGAGGCAGCAGAACTGCAGCAGCAGTTGGAGTCGAGCGCCAGTTCTGCTGCGATGCAGTCAACGCCAGAACGCCGTCCAACTCTTGTGACCAGTAATAGTGATGATAGCAGTCATTTCGACAATGAAGACAGTCTTCATCTCAACGGTAACGAAGAGGTGAGTTCTAACGCCGCCAAAAGCGTGAGCTGTGATATCGACGAACTCGACTCCGACTCGAGTCTCGAAGAGGATGAGGCGCCGCCTCCTGAGGAACAGATCGAACAAATCCAGGGGACGGCCAGCAAAGAGTCGGAAGCCGGCGCCGAAATGTCTGCCTTAGTTATATACGTACAACCCGTGCGCTTCCACTCCTTTGAATACGCAGACAGTAAGTGATGACACCATTTGGTCACTCATTGTTTCCATCCATTGATTTTGCATTTATCACAACAGAACGGAACCGAAGCTTTGAAGTCTCGTCTTTCGTCGAAACTCAGGGCACGAGTCTATTGAAGGAAAGACCGGTTGAGTTCGTTAAGTGAGTTTGTCTTTCGAGTAATTTGTTTGCATTTGATTCTTACGTTAAACGTTGTTGTCGTCGATGTGTTTCTAGTTTTAACAAAAGACAATTGAGTCGTATATACCCTCGAGGAACACGAGTTGACTCAAGTAATTATATGCCACAAGTCTTCTGGAATGCCGGCTGTCAGATGGTTGCCCTCAACTTCCAGACATTGGGTTAGCCTATAGTCTCATTCATTCACAAGTTATCCCTAATTATAATTATTTGTCTCATTTTATTATAGACTTAGGAATGCAACTAAATTTGGGAATATTTGAATACAACGGTAGAAATGGGTATCTTTTGAAACCAGATTTCATGCGAAGACATGACAGGAAATTTGATCCGTTCACTGAATCCACTGTCGATGGTATCATTGCCGGAACAGTTACTATAAAGGTATAACTAAATAATGCATTTTGTCATGTATTATAATAACCATTTGATTTGATTTGCAGATAATTTCCGGACAGTTTTTGTCTGACAAAAGAGTTGGTACTTTTGTTGAGGTGGATATGTATGGACTGCCGGCCGATACAGTGCGGCGAAGACGGACCAAAATAATACCGTCTAATGGTGTGAACCCAGTCTACGACGAGGAGCCGTTCGTATTCAAGAAAGTAGTTCTTCCAGAACTGGCGTGTCTTAGAATCGCTGCATTCGAAGAGAACAACCGTTTCATTGGCACAAGAATTCTTCCAGTCGTGGGCTTACGTCCCGGTTATCGACACATTTCGTTACGCAATGAATCGGGTCAACCACTTTCGATGCCCACACTCTTCGTTCACATCACAGTCAAAGACTACGTTCCCGACGGACTCTCAGAACTGGCCGACGCTTTGGCCAATCCTATTGCCTACCAATCGATGGTCGAAAAGCACGCAAAACAGTTGCTGGCGTTGACCGACGAAATCGATGACTTGTCTCTCACTAACACACAAACCGATACCTCCTGTAAAGTGACAGTCAATGTGTCGCCCGAACACCAAATGGTTTCCCGAAGGTATACATCTGATGAGGAGAAGAATCCAATGAAGTCATCGCTGTCTACGACCAAAGACACGACCGATTTGAGTGCGACCGCACCCACCAGTCGTGTCGATACAGCGAACGGCAACTTTCAAAAGACAATTTCCGCCGTCTCGAACACGTCTTCGCCGGTGCACAGGGTTTCTGCTTCACCACTATTAAGACAGGACACACTCAAACGTCTCAATCAATCCATACGCAGTCTTTCAGATGATGTCGCTCTCGAGAAGTCTTCATCACTGCTCGAGTCAACCGAAGCCAATATAAGCGCCGAACCGTTGGATAAAATAAAAGAGCATAAAATAGTTCAGAAAGTGATCACTAAAATAGAAAGGGATTTAATGACTGTTCGCAAGAAATACGACAAACTGAAGGAAAAGAGACGAGAAGTGGTTCAACAGGAAGAAGAGAGACTAACTCAGGCTCAGGAGAAGCAGAAGACAGCGTGGGTTAAGTCACATTCCAAGCTCTCTAAGAAGTCCTCCTCGTCTGACGGGTAAGTCGTATATGTGTTTCAAATACCTCTCTATTTGTTTATTCGCACGTCTTATCGATGGAAAACATAACTGTTCCGCAACTGCCTGTCACTAACAAACTCAACACCAAATGTTGTACTGCTGTTGTACAGTGTCTTTGCTTGTCTTTTCCCCTCCCAATCACCCCCTCTGTTGTATTGGGTTCTCTGCCGTTCCCGTCAATCCCGCAAATGTCGTCTAAATAGGCCGTCAACTCGAAGGCAAAGTTTGCAGTTCCTCTCTATGCCATCCTATAGGCACCTCATGAAGAGACGATCCGAAGTGGATCTCCAAAGTGTACTTAACGAACATCAATCAAATGTCGTCTAAATAGGCCGTCAACTCGAAGGCAAAGTTTGCAGTTCCTCTCTATGCCATCCTATAGGCACCTCATGAAGAGACGATCCGAAGTGGATCTCCAAAGTGTACTTAACGAACATCAAACCAAAGTAGGATTTCAATGCAACCGTTGCTTTCATTTGCTAATCAATACTCAATTCATTCATCTCATAGATTGAGGAATTGCACAGAATGTTCTCACAAACTATGCTTAACCTGAATCAGGAACAGTTCAAAGCCGAACTGGATCTCTATGAGAAATACCATGATCAGGTTTGTTGATTATATGCCACAAACCATCGCAACACATCTCATTGTGAATATGATTGTCATTTTGTTAATTTAAATAATAGGTTTCCACCGCTATTGAGAAAGCGATAAATGTCTCGCAAACGGGTCAACAGCAACACCTTCAGGCACTCCACGACCAGGAGGTGAACACTCTTATGAAGCGACTCGAGGCTCAACACAAAGAGGAATTGAATACATTGAGCAAAAAGCACAAGGACAAGAATGAATTGGCCAGGATCAAACGGGAACTGCAACAGAAGTTCATAGAACAGGCTGTGGGCGAAAGACAGCGCTTCCATTCCTTACTCCTGAAACGCAAATCAGAACTGGAAGTCCGTCACGAAGAGGTCCGCAAGAAGTTTGACGAAGAAAAGCATCTGATTCTCGAGAGGAGGCGAACCGAATACGAAGAGAAGTGTCAGAATGTGGTCAAACAATACGAGTCCAATCCATTGCTATTCACATCATCTCTGCCGACGACCTCTTGCTCTTTAGGACATAATATTCAATCGCACGACTCATCGACCGCTTTGTGATGACTCTAACCACTCGTTCTTTCAGAACTGAATTTTCTGTAAGTTTTTATGTATTAATTATAAGTGAATATTATTTATGACACTTTATTTCATTTAGTGTGAGATTTTATATCATAATTACAATACTCTATGATTAACGAAACTTTTGATTACTATTTTGTTTCTTAACTACAAATTATGACAACACTTGAGAAATGAGAATTACTTAAAGTATTGTGTGATTAGACGAGCGATTTGTTTAAGATTTGTTATTTAGTTTTGAGTGTTTGATTAGAATTTAAGCGCTTTTTTAATTAAAACCTTATCTGACGGCAAAGTTATTTATTTATAGTGAATAAAACCGTATTATATATAATATTGTTTGCATTTGGAAACAAGAAATTATATGCTTTTTGTTTTGCCTGTTGTGTGAATGCATTTCGATTGGCAATTATGTGTGCGGTTTATTGAAGTTGTTTTTTGCTTCATATTTAACATGAATTGATGTCGGAGTGGATATATTTGTCTCTTTAGACGTTTTATATTCATATTATAGTTAAAATATTAATTGCAATTCAATTGCACTACCAATCGATGCGAATGTGAACTAGAATTCAATGAATAGATCCTCTGAGAGAAGAAGAAGAGATCACTTTTCCTCGAATTCACCACAAATTCTAAATGCACTGCAAAATAAGATTACATGTTATTTATTATAACGTTTTCTACACATTTTGTGTTGTATTTTGTATTTCACTGGAAATGATTGAAAGCTTGCAAATCGATTATAAAACATGAAAACGACTTGACTTTCGCTTATATTCTGTTCATATTATAAGAGCTCTAAAAATATTTCTGGGGTTAAATCTAATGAAAAGCATTGAAAAGCATTGAAAACAAGTGAGCATTAATAATAATGTACAACTATGTAATAACTTATTATTAACGCTTTATGAAAAATAACTTAAAGGTTTATACTTTGGTTATGTATTCACTATAAATAAATAACTTTGCCGTCAGATAAGGTTTTAATTAAAAAAGCGCTTAAATTCTAATCAAACACTCAAAACTAAATAACAAATCTTAAACAAATCGCTCGTCTAATCACACAATACTT